TCCTCAAACTTTAGAGCTGCTTCCTCCTCAGACCCCTTGCTCTTGCTGCTTCCCCATTCTAGAGCACCTTCCACATTGTCCCGGGGGGCTCCCCAAACTTCTCAGCTCGGACACTGCCTTCTTGGAGAAGCCTTCCCCGACTCCTGGCTCCTTGTGTGACTTTCCTCAAACACGTGCCAGATACCTTCACTGGTTTTCCTGGCACCGTTCCCTGCACCAGAGGGCTGGGCCCTATCTCTGTCCCCAGAACAGTCAGCAGTCAGCGCCTGGATGCACGGTGACCTGAGCAGGGTACAGAAGATGTGGTACAGGGTACCAGCAAGAGGAGGTGGTCTCCGCTTTGGTGGGTCATGAAAGGTGTCCCAGGCAGAGTGGGTGGTGTTGGGCTGGGCCCTGAAGCCAGGTGCGGCGGGGAGCAAGCACATCAGCTTTCCCCCACGGTCTTTGTCCTGGTTCCTGGATTGTTCTAGATTGAGGCACGTTTGTTTACCTGCTGCACCCACTTCACTACCTGACAGGACATTGGTGTCGCTGTGTTTCTTTTTTTGTTTCCCATTAGAAAGTAAGTTCCATGGTCAGGGCCTCTGGGGATTATTGGAAGCTTCATGCCTGTGAGCAGCAAAGAGCAAGTTCTCAGTACGTGTTTTTGGAAGGGATGAATGAGTTACAAGGCGCTCATGCGCTACATTCCATGAGCTGTGCCCAGGCCAGCACATCTCTCTTCCTGATTTGAAAGAAGGATGGGAGTCTGTTGAAAGTGGGAATGAGCCTCTGAGCTGGGATTCAAGAAGGTGGCTTAGGCTGGAGCCCGGGGTGGAGGGGAGTAGAGTTGGAGGGCAGGTGGCAGGCGTGGAGCTTGGCTCTTAACGAGCTGCCGGGTCCCTTCTTGGAAGCAATCTCTGCTCCCCGCTGCTTGTCTAGTGTCCCCGTCTTCTGCAGCCAGGGCTTGGTGGCTTCGAGATGTATGGGCTTCTTTCCTCCGGGAGGAGGGCTGGCCAGGACCCTGGCCACCAGAATCTGGACGTCCACCAACTCCCACATCTTTTCCCTGTTTGTCTGCGTATTCCTTTTAGTGTCTCTCCTCCTCAGAGGCCTGCCCCCTGTGCCAACCAGACCCTCGGGGCCTGGGTCTCCTTTCTTCGGACTTTCTCAGGCTAGGCAGCTCTGTCCGGTGGCTTTAGCAAGGCAGTGGGAAAGCTGAGTGGAGGCTGATTTGGTTCCTCAGATTTGGGTTTTTTTGGTTTTTGTTTTTTCAGATTTTATTTTTAAGTGATCTCTACACCCAGTGTGGGGCTCGAACCCACAACCCCGAGATCAAGAGTTGCACGCTCCACTGACTGAGCCAGCCAGGCGTCCTGGTTCCTGTCCCACTCCTACCGCGCAGCCCTAGCTGGCCCTCTTCGGCAGGCCTGTGCTCAGAGCATGGGGGATGGCCCACTAGTTCGGGTTCTGCCTTTGACTTGCTGTCTGCTGGGTCAGCACCCCTACCCTGTGGTCTGCCAGCACTGCCCAGAGCTGAACTGTGGCAGAGTTGGTGTTGACGGTTGGGCTCCATGTGGACTGTGGATAAGCCACATCTTCCAGAATGTTCTCCACGCTTAACCTCCGTTCTGGTCAAGGGACTTCCCATGCCCCAGATGTGATAAAATTTGCCATATTTCCTCAACTTCTCTGGGGTTCAAGTTCATAAGCCTGAGTCTTTCCTAGAGTTCTTAGGAATAATTAGTCACACAGGAAAAGAAAGGGGCAGCCCAGGGTCACCTGTGGAGAGTTAAGGCTCCTCCAGAAAGAGAATTTTGCGCAACCAAGGAGTCTGTCCTGTGAGAAGCCTGACTTCATGCTGAGTCATGGCCCGAGTGGCTTCTGGGTTTTCCAGAAGAGTCCCAAGCCCAGAGAGACCTGCTCCACCAACTCCTCAGGCTTTCAGAAGACAGAGCCGACCTGCACGAGGTCGTTGGGCGGCCTTCCCAGATGCCTGATGTACACACTTGGCTTCCTGCTCCTCCTGGGGTGCTTTGGGTTCAGGAAGGTGCAGAAAATTGCCTTTATGAAACTTTCCAGCTCTGGGTCGCCTGGCCGGCTCAGTGAGTAGAGCGTGCGACTCTTGATCTCGGGGTGGTGGGTTCCAGCCCCACTTGGACATGGAGCCTACTTAAAATCAAACAAACTTCACAGCTTAGTTTTCTCAAAGTAGAGGCTCCCCTTCATGGGTTTGTCCCTCAGGAGAAGCCGCTGTGCGTAAGAACTGAGAAGGGCCTGACTCTGGGAGCCCTGCAGAGCTCCTGCCTCGTGGGTCAGAGTGGGGCCCGCGCAGCCGCCATGCTCCACTCGTGGTTAGTGCGGGAGGGCATCTGACCCCCAGAATGCTGGTCACAGAGCTAACACGTTTGTGTTTTGTTTCAGGGCTCTCTTTACCTATGAGGGTAACAGCAATGACATCCGTGTGGCCGGCACTGGGGGTGAGTACGACCCAGTGAGGCCACGAGTGGGCTGGCAGGGGGTTGGGGGGCATCAGGAGGCAGGTGTGGGGGAGGGGAGAGCGTTGCAGCTGTCACTGCTCCCTGGCGTCCGGCATCTCAGCCATCACGGCGAACGGAAGGTGTCCCCTGTGTGTAGCGAGCCTGTCCTGACCCTCCCCACAATCGCGTCAGTGTTGGGGAGTCACACACCGCCTTGTTACTCAGCGAACACTCACCAGTGCACTCTCCGCTTGCCACAGAGTGGTTCCGGCAGCCTGTTCTCGAAAGCCGCTCCCTCATCTTTTTAGGAGGACTGCAGGTGGCCGTGGTGTCCTGCGCCCTGCAGTGCCTCAGGCACCACCCTCAGCGCCGCTCACAGGGCTCTGCTGTGAATGCCTGGAGTGGGGGCTCAGGGCTGCGCCCACACTCCTCGCAGCCTGGGAGGGTTTGGGGGTGCTGATAAGCACAACCTCCATGTCGGGACAGTGGCTGAGGAGGGCCCGCTCCTGTGCCCCCGTCACTCCCCCGTCTTTACGGGGAGGGTCTGAGAGCTGAGCCCAAGCGTGGCTGCAGGACATTCCCACCTGTTCAGGGCCCTTTGTGAGGTCCAGGCAGGCTGTTGCAGACATGGTCCATTTGGAAGCCCGGTGCCTAATTTGTAGCAGAAATGACATTTTTTATTTCCGGAACTCCCAGTGGGTTTCATAGGAATGGCTTTTAAACCGGGGTGTGTAAACCATCACCTGAGGTCCTTGTCACAGATGCAGATCCTGGGGCTCCATCCGCCCCCCCCAGGTCCTGTAAGTCCGCTTAATGGGGGCAGGACCAGGAGTCTGATTCCGATGCAGGCGGCCCTGACAACCCTGGCTCAGAGGCAGGTTGGGTTTCCCTTGCTGGTGGGCGCTGTGCGGGGCCGGCCACAGGTGCTGGGCCCGCTGATCCCCCCACCCCATGCCTGCTGCAGAGGGGGGCCTGGAGGAGATGGTGGAGGAGCTCAACAGCGGGAAGGTGATGTACGCCTTCTGCAGGGTGAAGGACCCCAACTCCGGCCTGCCCAAGTTTGTCCTCATCAACTGGGTACGTGGAACTGGAGGGCCCTGAGTTCTCATCTGGGTGTGACCCAGGAAACTCCCTTTCCTTCTTTCGTCCTTTGCCTTCTGTGACTGGAGCGGAGGGGGACTTGCCCTCAGGGTAGCTCAGAGGTGGTGAATGAACGGAAGGGTGGGGGAGGTCCTTGTGGCCCCAAGGACAGTGGAGGCCTTGCCAGCACGGAAGCCCACCCTCCTTCCCCCAAGCCCAAAATTGTTCCTACAAAATCAAGGATAGAGGACAGTTGCAGGACACCCTTGCTTTTGTCCCCTTCAGAGTAGTCATGCTGAGGGAGCAGAGGGCCTGGAGAAGGCTCAGAGAGCATAGGACCCCTGGGTAGGACTGGGAAGTTCCGAGCCCCCCCCGCGCGAGGCCTCCCCCCCCCCCCCCCCCCCCCCCCCCCCCCGCCGCTCCCAGCGGAAGCTGGTGGTCATCCTGCCTCAAGAGTGGAGGTGCGGGGCTCACTTTATCCTCCGCTTTGCGGTTGCGGTTTTCCCTCTGCTGGGCCCCCAGGGAGAGCAGCGGCTTTGCGGGGTTGGAGGGTCATGCTGGGTGTATTGTGTTGCAGACGGGCGAGGGTGTGAACGATGTGCGGAAGGGAGCGTGCGCCAACCACGTCAGCACCATGGCCGGCTTTCTGAAGGTGAGGCTGCCCCCTGAGGGCCTCCCAAGGTGCCTGGGTGTGCATGAGCACAGTTGCAGAGCTGGAAGTGTGCCCACACCCCGATGCTCTCCCTGGACGCAAGGGCGTGACCAGAGGCTGCTGCCCAGGAGGCCACACTGCGGCCAGAGCCACCAGCAGGCTGGCCTCAGTGGGAGGAAGGATGGATGACTGTGTCCATTTTGAGCCCAGGGAGGATCATCTGCAGCTAGTCCTGGGGCAAGGCTAGGCCTGGGCTTCCATTGGTTTTGTGAGGGTTTATTCGGCCGTGTTGTCAGGATCTGGAGGAGACGGAGAGTTGCGTGTGCCCAGCCACCTCAGCGTGCCCAGTCCCTTATGCATTCCTTTCCAGCCCACCTTTGTGTGTATTAACGTCAGTCCTCAGAGTGGAACCTCGTTTAGGTCCAAAAGCATTTGCTATTTGCTTGTCAGGTAACTTTGTGTGTCTTTGGTTACTGGCAAAGAGACTCGGGACTTTGATTTCTAGTCTGCCAACACTTCTGCAGATATGCCTCAGTTTCTCCACCTAGGAGCTGAAAGAGGATCCCAAGCTCACTGGGTGTTAACTGACAGTGAGTGAGGTCATGGGTCTGACTTCTCAAGAAGAAATTGGTGGCTGGGGCGCCTGGCTGGCTCAGTGGGAGGAGCACTGACTCTCTATCTCAGGGTTGTGAGTTCAAGCCCCAGGTTGGGTGTAGAGATACCTGAATAAATAAAACTTAAGAAATTTTAAAGGAAGAGGAGGAAGAAATCGGTAGCTTGCTTTTTGTAGAAAATACGTTTCCAGATCCTTTGTAAAGTTCGCTTTCGTGAATCAGAAAGGGGCTCTCCGGTGCCTGGGCCTGCAGCAGGGGGGGTCCGGCACCTCGGAACAGGGCCACGGAGCACAGAGACCGCATGCCCATGCTGGGACAAGTGCAGCGTGTTTACCTCAAGACGGTTTGTCGGCCTTGAGGAAAGTGTGCCTCGGTTCCCAGTGGGGTCTCCTGACCTCAGCCCTGGGCAGCAGTTGTCCACGTTGTGCACACTGAGGTGTGCGTCCTCTCCTCTCCTGGAGTTGCAACGCCTAAGTGCTGTCCCGCCACAGGGGGCCCATGTGACCATCAACGCGCGGGCCGAGGAGGACGTGGAGCCCGAGTGCATCATGCAGAAGGTGGCCAGAGCCTCGGGTGCCAACTATGCCTTCCACAAGGAGAGCAGCCGTTTCCAGGACACGGGCCCCCAGGCCCCAGTGGTGAGTGCTGCCTGGGCCCGAGGGTGGCAGGCCAGGAGCCAGCAGACGGGCTGGTTTCTCCCTCGTGGGGCTGGGCTCCTGCCTGCCTGGCTCCCGGGCTCTGAGCCAGATCATGGTGCAGACAGTGACCCCATGCCGGACGGAAGCCGGAGCTGCCCCCTGGTGGGGCAGGCGCTAGCGGGCCTGAGGAGCAGCCTCTATCCTGCCTGGTGGTTCCACTGGCCGTTCTGGAGCCTCTTACACCCTGGGGACAGTCCAGTCATGAGGCCACGGCACCAGCGTGTCCTACACAGTCCCGGATGGTGGGCTCCATGGAGGAACTTGAGGTGGTGGATGGGCAGGCCCCTCCCAGTCAGGGGCAGACACGAGACACCCCAGTTATGGGGAGCCCAATTCCCCGAGGCACAGCTGGGGTCTGCGGAGATTTCTCTGGGCATTGCCACGGTGGTCAGCTGTCTGAGGCTGGTGGACCGGCTTCCCTCCGCAGGGGCCTGGTGCAGCCAGAGACCCCCTCGGCGCTGCCCAGCGGTTCCCAGGGCCCTTGGGCCATCTTGCTGCCTGCTGGGCGCCAGGTGCCGTTGCCTCTGCTGGGCGCCATCCCCACGGTTGTTGCTGGTGTCCTGCGCTCCCGAGGGCAGCCCCGTAGCGGATCCTCTGTCCTCCGCAGGGCTCTGTGTACCAGAAGACCAACGCCATATCTGAGATCAAAAGGGTTGGCAAAGACAGCTTCTGGGCCAAAGCAGAGGTGAGCACTGCCGGGCACATCGAGCACAGCTGCCCCTCACAGCGACGGGGCGGGCCAGGTGCCGCGGTGCCTTGCGCGCCAGTGCTCGGTTTTTCCCCCTGTGAACTCACGGGTGGCGCGTGTTCTCGTTCACACCTGTGCTCGAGCGGAGGCTGAGCGGGGTTGCGCCACAAGGCTGGTGGGCGGCCCCTCCCGGCGGCGCTGCACGGATGCCTGGGGGGCACAGGGGCCCAAGGGCAGGCCCAGCTGGCCGCTGGGCGGGTGCTGAGTGGGGCGGGCGGGCTCGGCTGTCCCTGCAGAAGGAGGAGGAGAACCGTAGGCTGGAGGAGAAGCGGCGGGCGGAGGAGGAGCGGCAGCGGCTGGAGGAGGAGCGCCGGGAGCGGGAGCTGCGGGAGGCCGCCCGCCGCGAGCAGCGCTATCGGGAGGAGCTGGGTGGTGAGGCTGGACCCCAGAGGTGAGGCCCCAGAGTTAGGGTGGAGGGAGGGTGCCAAGTGGGCCGTGGCTGGGCTGCAGCTCTCTCCTCCCTCTGCCCCTCCCGGCAGGAAGAGTGAGCCGCAGGAAGTGCTTTCAAGGAGCAGAGAGGAGCAGGTGAGACTTGGGTGCTTCCCCCACCCCCACCCCCCTATGAGGGTCTGTTGCAGTAATGCCGGGGGGCGGGAGGGGGGTGTCCCTGCTGTGCCCGGGGGAGGGTCCTGCAGCCAGCTGGAGGTGGCAGGGGAGAGGACAGTGAAGGGCAGAAGCAGCCAGCGTGGACCTTAGCCCGGTCCAGGACGAGGCCCGTGAGCCCCTCCTCACTGCCGGGTCCACGCGCACCCCTCCAGGAGCCCATCAGCCAGTCAGCACATCCGCGTGAGATTTTCAAGCAGAAGGAGAGGGCCGTGTCCACCACATCCATCTCTAGCCCCCAGCCGGGTGAGTCTTCCCGCTGGGTCTAGCCACGAGGCAGGGGCAGGCGAGGGGGAGTCTGGGGTCCCAGTGCGGGGTCCCCAGAGGGAGCGAGAGATGCGTCAGAAGATGACAGAGGTGAGTGAGCAAGGAGAGCCTGTGCTCTTGAGAGTGGCTTCTGGGAGGGGAGCCTGGGCCGCAGGTGTCCCTTTCCTGCCCGTGGCCTTAGCCTGCAGAGACCTGGAAAAGAAGGGCCATGTGTGGCTTCAGAAGGGAGACCCTCCAGCCCGGCCCCATTAACCCGTGGTGTAGCTTGCCCGTGGTGGCTGGGCCCCGGAGCCTCTGTCACTCACCCCTGTGGCCCCCAAGGACCCAGGATGGCACCGCCGTCAGCTCTCCCACGCTGGGGGGCTGCTCGAAGCGTTCTGTGTGTGATGTGTTTCTGCAGCGCCTGTGTCCCCCGTCCCCCCCATCCCGTGTGACAGCCCCTGCCCCGGGGCAGGTCCACCGTCCAGACAGCACAGGGCACAGAAACGGTGGACACGATTCGTCTTCCCTCGTCCAGTGCTTGTGTGTTTACCTTTGTCTGCAGGCAAGCTGAGGAGCCCCTTCCTGCAGAAACAGCTCACCCAGCCGGAGACCCAGCGCAGCACAGAGCCGACCCAGGCCTCCTTGAGGCCCAGGGCAGGCAAGGCTCTTGGCCACCCCGCAGGCGGGGGGGGGGGGGGGTAGAGTGGGAGGGAGAAGGAGGGTGTCCGCTCCCCTTCCCGGGGCTCAGGGTGGGCACCCTCCTGTGCAGATGTCTGTGAGGAGCCAGTGCCCAGCGCTCCACCGTGTCCAGTGCAGGCGGAAGAGGAGGCTGTGTACGAGGAGCCCCCAGAGCAAGAGACACTCTATGAGGAGCCCCCAGAGCAAGAGACACTCTATGAGGAGCCCCCGATGGTGGGTTCCCAGCAGCAGGGCGCGGCTGTGAAGGGGCCACAGGCCCAGAAACACCCTCCTCACCGCGCCATCCGTGGGATGCTTGACTCCCGACGGCTCACTACATGTGGAGTCTCGTTTAATGTTGGAGCAGGCGTGTGGAACACGTGGTCTGGCACTCCCCTGCTCCGCGGGAGGTCCGGGGGGGGGACATCGTGGGTGCAGTGGCACGGCCACAGCCCTTGCCCTCTGTGTGCTGTGCCCCTCCCCCCAAGCCTGGTGTGAGCCCATAACAGAGACCCCAGATCTCTCTACTTACCACACGGGTCAGGTGCAGCAGCAGGATGCCAGCTCTGAGCCCGTGGACCACTACCCTGAGCTGAGCGGTAAAGGGCTCTGTGCCCGGGCCCTGTACGACTACCAGGCAGGTAATGTGCGGTGGCCCGGCCACTCACGCTGCGGGGCCCCACGTCAGGAGGCAGACTTCGGGGGCTCCCTTGGGGCAGTGGGGGGACGGAAGGGTGAGGGGACGATGGGGTGGACACCCTGCACAGCCCAGGCCTTCCCATGCACTCTGGGCAGCGTCTATGGGCAGGAACCCCAGTTGCCAGCGTTGTGCTAGAGCCTGAAAGTGTGACCAGAGGGGTGGGCGGACCTGCACGCTGGGCCCCCAGTGGCCTGGCTGGAGGCTCTGGAAGCAGGCTGCTGTGCAGAGGGGGGTGCCCAGGGTCAGGTTGTGCTGCAAAGTGTGTCAGTTGGGGCGGGGCGTTGGCCGCTGGAGTGGCGTCGGGATAGGCCCCAGCCCCAGTGCCACCTCCCGCAGCTGACGACACGGAGATCTCCTTCGACCCCGAGAATCTCATCACGGGCATCGAGGTGATCGACGAGGGCTGGTGGCGTGGCTACGGGCCAGACGGCCACTTTGGCATGTTTCCTGCCAACTACGTGGAGCTCATTGAGTGAGGACCCTCCGCTGCTGGCTGCGCCGAGGCCGTCCTTCCCCTCCCCTCCCACACGTGCTTTCCTTACTCCCGGGGACGTGGCGTGCGTGGCGCGAGAGCCCCACAGCACTCCTCCAGGAATGGGACCCCCCCCAAAGAAGACAAGCCCTTGGGCTCCCTCAGACTGGGGTGCTCAGCCTGTCACCCTAGATGCAGCAATACCCTGTGATTCCCAAATGTGCTCCGGCAGCTGCAGGCCCTCCCAGCCAGCCTGGCCTTTGACCCCCACAGAGGACATGGACCCAAGCCCTGCCCATGGCCGGGCCCTCCGTGGCCTCTGCCTGAGGAGGGTGGTGCTGCCCCGCCGGGCAGTCTGAGCCGGGGCCTTTGCCTTTTTTTCCCCTTTCCTCTTGGCTCTAAAGGGTGGTGGCTCCAGCTGGTAGTGATCCTCGGGAACAGTGGCCTTAGCGTTTAGGACCAAAGTCTGAGTGGGTCGTGACGGTTTGGGCAGCAGTAGGTCACCTTTCTGGATCCCGCCCTGTGCTCCCAGTTCCCTGTCCCTCTGCCTGGGCTGCAGACTGTGGGCATTGGGCACGGGGATGACCGAGCCCCCGTCTGAGCATATGATTGGCAAACCCGTGTCCTTCCGTGTGGTGCACCCTGTTCCGCCGGCTCCTCTGTGTGCTCGCACCGGACCCTGGTTCCGGAAGAGGTACCGGAGCGTCCGCTACCTGCTGTCTCACCCTGTTTGTTCTGGCCCGCCCGTGTCCGCTTTCAAAGAGAGAACCACCCTGTTGTGGCCTGAACGCCTCCGTGTGGAAACCAGCCCCTTCCCGTGTGTGCATGGGGTGTGTGTGCAGGTGCGTGTGCACACGCACGCACCCTCAGACCTCGGGCCGACTGTGGGCCCTGGGAGAGGCATAAACATAAAGATGTGACTCGAGTCAGCCTGTTGCATGTCCGTGTTCTGGGAGGGGCTGAGGGCTGCCCGCCCTGCCCGTGCAGGGCGTGTGCACGTGTTGTCGAGTGAGGTGCCCCATGGAGCCCACTGTATGCTGGGACTTAACTGTTCCTCTTGTGCTCTGGCAGGTGCCAGGTAGCAGCAGCCTGGAATGGCGGCTGCACCAAGGAGACCACTGGCCCCGGGTGGTGGCAGATGGCCCCTCTTGTACCCTAGGCTGCAAAGGCAGGCCTCGCCAGCCCTGATTCTCCACCCCCGAGCTGCGGAGGATCCAGGAGTCCCCTATTGCAGGCTCTGAGGCCAGTGGTGGGCTTGTCTTCAGATGTGAGGATGCCTGGGGTGTGGGGCTTGGTACCACCTCACCCGGCCCACCCTGGGGCTGCAGGGACAGCAGAGGACAGCCCATCTGAGGGAAGCGGCCGTGAGGTGGTGTCCTCACTGCAGTCCCTGCCCACTGGGGATAACTGGGTCACCCCAGGCACCCCAACTGTAGAGCGAGGTTACCAGGCGGTGGTTCGGTTCTTGGTGTCACCACAGGGGGCCTGTTAGAAGTTACCTGACAGCCCGGCTTGGGGACCAGACTCCTGCCCTTGGTTCCTGGGGTCCTCTCACCTAATGGGGGTGGGCAGCAGGGGCCACATGCCCTGGGGCAGGGTTTGTGGAACCCCTAGCTCAAGGACTTGGAGCCGGGCATGCCGGGGCCACACTGGACTCAAGGTGGTAGGTGGAGGTGCTTTTATTGCCAGAAGCCCACCCTTCACTTGGCCTTGCCCTGGGCGGCCACAGCCTCCATGGCCTTCCGCACAGTTTCTTCATCACCCAGGAACCGCATGGGCTTGGTGGGCTTCAGCGCCTGGTCCAGCTCATACACGATGGGGATCCCCGTCGGCAGGTTCAGCTCCATGATGGCCTGGTCCGACATCCCTGGACCGGGGGAACAGGATCCTTAGTCCCCTTGGCCAGTCCGCCAGGCAGTTTGCCGCCCTCACGTTCAGCAGGCCCCGTGACCTTTATGGGCCCCAGAGCCAGGCCAGCCAGGCAGCAGCCTGCCTGCCCCCCACAGTGAGCCCCCCGCACAGATGCCCCTGAAGAAGGTCGAGCCAGTAGTGAGAGACTGAGTGGCCTGCAGAAATAGCCATGGCAAACTGGGACCTCGTGCCCCCAACCGGGAGCCACTGGGACCTGGGGCCACGCCATTGGGTCTTTTCTATTTGGTTTCTAGAGCGTTCTAAATTCTAGCCATCAGGAGCAGGGGTGCTCCTGACAACTGGGGGGTGGAGGGACAGCAAGAAGGGCCTCCTGTGACCAGGGTGGAGGGGAGGCTCTGTGGGTGGAAAGGGCAAGGTTTCCCAGGGAAACCTGACCCTGCCGGCCTTCGCAGCCCCTGGCCTGGAATAGCAGCTCGACCTTTGCAGCTCCGACACCACCAACCACCCCCCCCCGCCCAGTTCTCCAGGCAGTGGGCGACTGCAGTGACAGTGGCCTCTGCGCTTCTCTCCCAGACCCGGCCCCTGGAAGGGAGGGGCACGAGGTGGTGTTGGGGAGGGTGGACTGGGACTGGGCAGGCCTCGGGGGCCAGCCTGTCTGTGCTCTGGCCAGCTACCCACTGACCCCCAGAGCAGGGGGTTTGGGGCTCCCCACCTACCAGCCTTCTTCCCCTTTCCACAGTCCCGACAAGCTTGAAGGCCGTTCTGAGGCTCAGACTCCGGAGGATCTGTATGTCTAAGGGAGCCCGGTGGAGATGCACGCCCCGAGCTCCTTAGTGGGAACCCAGCTACAGGCTGGGGTCGAGGACTGCTCCACCCCAGCACCCTCTTAACTGGTCTTACCTTTTCCTTGCGTGGGTGTGAGCTGGGGTCCCCTGCCCTGGGCCTCATGAGCCCCCCCCCCCGCCCCCGACCCCGGAGAGGGTGGTTGAGACCCAGCAAGTGGTGTGACTTGACCAGGGCCACACAGCAAATGGATCTGGAGCCAGACGGCCCTGCCTTGGCCCCGGGCGGCCTTGGGCACGGCCTTCCCATCTTTCCCAGGCTTCTGGCCAGGAGGCCAGGCCAGCCCCAGGCCTCTGGGCTCCGCGTCGGAGCAGCAGTTTCCACCCACAACCTCCAGAAGGAAGCTCGTTGTATATAGTGTCCCAGTACATAAACAAGTGAAACAAAAATTTTGCAAAGTGGCTTTTTTAAGTGGTTTCTCAGTCCTCCCAGTTCACAGTTTGAACCCCGACCTCGAGTGCTCATGTGTGCAGAGCTGCCTGGGCGGGGGGCTTGTAGCTGAGATGAGCATTTGGGGCCCAACTGGTGCAAGGGCATGTGCCCCGTCTGCCCCCCAACCTGCTTCCGCCCACACCCCCTGCAAGGATGGGCCTCACCTTCCAGGTGCTTGACGATGCCCCGCAGGCTGTTCCCGTGGGCTGCGATGAGCACTCTCTTGCCAGCCTTGATCTGGGGGGCGATCTCCTCGTTCCAGAAGGGTAGGGCCCGGGCGATGGTGTCCTTGAGGCTCTCGCAGGTGGGCAGTTCCCCGGGCTTCAGGCCTGCATACCGCCGCTCCTGGGGGCATCCACACTGCTGTTCCCTGCCCAGGAAGCCAGCCCCCCCACCCGCCCGGGCTGCCATCCCCAAGGCGCTGCCCCTAGACTCTCCCCTGATGCACCAAGCAGCCCACCTTGCTGATGGAGTTGTAGTAGGGGTGCTTCTCATCCATGGGGGGCGGCGGGATGTCGAAGGAGCGCCTCCAGATCTTCACCTGCTCCTCCCCGTGCTTGGCGGCCGTCTCGGCCTTGTTGAGGCCTGTGAGGCCCCCGTAGTGCCTCTCGTTGAGGCGCCAGCTGCGCACCACGGGCAGCCACATCTGGTCTGTGCCATCCAGGATGGTCCAGAGGGTGTGGATGGCTCGCTTCAGCACCGACGTGTAGCAGATGTCAAACTCCATCTTAGCGTCCTTGATGGCCTGGGCGCCCCTCTTGGCCTCCTGGGCCCCCTTCTCGCTCAGCTCTGCGTCGAACCAGCCACAGAAGCGGTTCTCCTGGTTCCAGGTGCTCTCACCATGCCGGACCATCACGACGCGGTGGGTGGACATGGTGGCACTGGGGACCGCAGCGGGCTGCAGACGGGGACGGCGGCCTCCCAGGTGCACCCAGTTTTATAACCGTCTGTCCCCAGCCCCCACCCTGGCCAACTGCCAGTCAGCATTCCAGGCGGGACGGGCGGCGGCAGGTGGCCAGTAGCAAAGCTTGGGGGGAGGGCAGGCCCGGAGCCGGCCTTAAAATAGCCCCAGCAGCCACCAGCGCCCGGGCCGGGTGGGGCTGCGCGCAGGACTGGGCATGAAGGGCAGGAGTCTGAGACATGCCTGAGAGGTGGGGCTGCCAGGAGCAGCGCCCATCTCCGAGCAGGACTCCTCGGTCCCGGCGGGAGGGCTGACGCTGCGGCCTCAGGCCAGAGGCACATTCCCAGGGCCTTTCTGCTGGTCCTCGTCCACACAACTGGGGGCAAGCCTGCATTCCCCTAAGGGAGCTGGCCTGTGTGAAGGGGAGCCCGGGGATGTGTGTGCGCAGGCGCCTGTGTCTGCCCAAGTACACATGCATGTGTGCGCCCATGTGCGGGCACATGCGTGCGTGTCTGGTGTGTTACGTGTATACACGCGTGTCCATGTCTGTCACTTGTTGTGTGTGCATATGCGTATGCCTGTGAGCTGCCAGGAGGTTCCCCCAGGGGCTCTGCTCTGCTCAGCCGGCCGTGGGGGCTGCATGGGGGCTTCCCTCCCCAGCTGCCTCTGCCCTGCCCGCAGGATGAGTCTTGAGGGAGCCTGTGGCCCATGGCCAGGCTGGGACTGTGACGTCACCTCCGCTAGTCCCCACAAGGGACAGAAAGGAGTGAAAGGTCAGGTCGCTGTGGCCAGGGGAGCAGGTGGGGGCCGTAGCCCTGGGGTGGGGGTCCGGCCCTGCAGGAGAGGGCGCCAGGCAGTAGGGTGGGCCGGGGCCTGGGCTGAGCCGGGCAGAGGTGTTTCCAAGACAACCGGGGGAGATGGAGGGGTTGGGCCAGAGGGGAGCAGAGGGTGCTGCA